GCCTGGGAGAGCGCTAGGAATTACAGCAGTCGTCCCCCGCTCTATGCCCTTTGAGGAGGTCAGGAGCTGTAGTTTCCCAGTTGGCAATCTGTGTAACAGGTCTCTGGGATATCCTAAATCCAGACACTTTTTCCACAGCTTAAGCCTCTGTTCCCTTTCCTCAGGAGTGGCCTCACATCTGGGCTTAAAGCCCCCTTTCCTGTCTCCAGAGTCCCCTTTCAAGTGCTGTACCCTCACTTTAGTCTGTGGCGTCTCATCTTCTCCAAGCTCTCGGAGGTCCCACAGCAAAGACTCAAATAATGTCTGGTAGGAAGGTCCCTGGTCTCGGACAAGGTTTCTCATGGCTAGTGCTATCGCTTTATAGGACCCAGGAGCTCCCTTCAGTATAGGTCTCACGTCTGCTACTCTGACTCTCTGCTCCCCTGGGCTCTCTTCCTCCTCTCTGTTCCCAGGACCGTCTTGGTGAAGCATAGCCACTATCGATACTGTTTGCAGGGCCTTCCTAAGCTCATCCTCATTAGTCCACGGGGTGCTAAGGGGTTCGCCTCTATCGGCGTGGTGGATTCCCTGAGCCCATCTACAAGCAAAAGTCCAGATCGATTTTGGACCTTCCCCAGGTCTGGGGCTAAGGAAAACCCCTGTGCCCAGATTCACTCTCTCGCACTCTTGGGAGGACAACTGTGTGTGACCAGCCCCTGTGTTCCATATTCTAGTTAGCCATTCCACTACTCCTTCCCCGGGCTTCTTTATAAATTCGTCCTGCAGCTTTTTAAGCTCTGCAGGCTCATAGCTCCGTGTAGTCCTACGGGTGGGTCATTCCTTTCTACTATTACTATTATCCCCACTGGCTGAGGGAACATCACTATCTTTATCCTTATTAGCCCCCTCTCTGGTTCCATCTGCCCCATAGAACACATCTTCCTGGAAGGTGACAATAGGTCTCATCTGAACTGCAGACTTCCTCATCTCATGGGAGGGGTGAGTGAAACACTCATCCTCGGAGGAGTCCTAGATATCTCCATCCCACTCCTCCGGGTCTAACCAGAGAGCCGCCTCCACTTTGGCTCTGTTAATGCTCCGTGGTTTGCTCTCTATTTTTGGTCTCCGTTCTGCTCCCTCCTTTTCTACCAGTGGAACGAGGCGCTGTTCTATTGGTGCACATCATTATTCAGTAGCCGTACCCGGGTGTCTAAGTTCTGGCACCATTGCAATTACTTATTTCTCTCCCTCTGGACTTTCTCTAGTTCTGTTCCTAGGTCCCAGTGGCTCTTATATGCTGCCTGCAGCACACCTTTTAATAACCAGATGCAGACTCCCTTTCCTCTCCCCTTCTTTAACTTGCAGGCAGTTCTCCACTTACAAAACTGCAACCACAATTCTTCAGGATTTCCCCAATCCTTTTCTAACATTTGTTTATCCCATTTTGGGTCGCCCCAACCTTCCTCGGCAAAATTCTTTTTTACTTTACTGAAATCAGTATTTACATGACTGGCTTCATGTTGCTGTATTTAAACTGATAACACAATCCTGCCGACTACGCCAATTCTGTTAGCCAGTGGCCAGGGCAGTGAGTGGTTTGTGAGCCCTATCACACACCCGAGTCTTCAACTGCTAGGACAAAAGTCCTTTCGCAGCAGGCAGCCAGGAAAGCTGACGGGCGCCCTAAGAGTTTGCCCCGTGGAGGCGGCACAACCCAACTTTGATTATTGTCAAGTAGCAGAGGGGTAGCCGTGTTAGTCTGAAACTGCAAAAGCGGCGAGGAGTCCTGTGGCACCTTATAGACTAACAGAAGTGTTGGAGCATAAGCTTTCGTGGGCAAAGACCCACTTTATCAGATGCATGTAGTGGAAATTTCCAGAGGCAGGTATAAATAAACTTTCTTGGTATTCACACCTCCAGATCAGCTACTAGAAGTGGGCCTCATCCTCCCTGATTGGATTCACCTCGTTATCTCTAGCCTGATTCTGGCCTGCATATTTATACTTGCCTCTGGAAATTTCCACTACATGCATCTGACAAAGTGGGTCTTTGCCCACGAAAGCTTATGCTCCA